CACAAGATCCGCATAGTTCTCTTTCCACGAAAAGAAACACGGGGCGACGGTTCTCGTTTGGCGCTGAGCGTGGACGTGGGAGAGTGGTGAAAATGTTACTTGAACGGGAAGAGGTCAACCCCGACAAGCCAAATAATCGCGGCCGAACACCGCTCTCTTTTGCTGCTCAGAATGGGCATGAGGAGCGGTGGAAATGCTACTTAGGCAGGAAGAGGTCAACCCTGATAAGCCAGATAATTAGGTTCAAACACTGCGCTCGTTTGCCGCTCAGAATGGACATGAGGGAGCGGTGTAAATACTACTTGGGCGGGCAGATGTCGGTCCCAGATAATTACGGCCAAACACCGCTCTCGTTAGCCTCTCGCAAGGAACATGAGAGGGTGGTTGCATTCCTATTCTCTCGCAAAGCGGTAACCCCCTGTACGGTTTAAGCCTAGGAGGCACCGCGTGATAGAACTAATCGCCGCCCATGTACCGGTATGCTACTCATGCCAAAGTGCTCGGACATCACCCTTCATCGATTGGGGAATCCCCATGAGTGGCAATGCACATATATGCCATACCCCCCTGCGCCTTCTCGGGGATTTAGTTTTGTGGTTAAGTGGGATTTGTGAGTCACTGTCTACAAAGTTTGGTTCGTGGGGGGATATCAATTCTCATGGGAAGGTCGGGCTTGTAGCTTACAGATGTCAGCCTGTCATATTGAATTCTTTTTTATCTGCAAATTCTTACGTATCCTGTTTTTTTCTCGCACAGCCACTTCTTCCCTTACTTCCTTTCCTCCCTCCGAATGATAGATAAACTGTATATAGCGCTTTTTAGGTAGAACAATGTGGTGTACGATAGTGTAATGATTCTTGAGGCGATTGTCAAAAATTAGATACCAACCAGAGCTGTGATAGAAGACTAATTATTATAAATAATACAGCTTAGTGAGTAGTATTATATCATCCATAGGGGGGCATAGGTGGACGGGTTGACGATTACTGTGCATGTCAACTCACACACATCAGGTATAATCAACAATAATATTATTATGGTGAATTCAGTACTTAGAGGGACGGCAAAATGGGTATTTCAAGAAACAAAAAGAAAAAGGCCTTCATCCTCCATTCGTTTTTTTCATCCACCACCACCTTCCTTCGCCAGGTACTATCCACTTCTCGCACCGCTTTGACAAGATTCATCGATGTGGAGACCACAAGGTAAGCGACACAAGCCAGTATTGCACTTTGATCCATAAGAGCAGCTAATGTATTCACTGATATCTCTTACTTTGCTACAACTAGTATAAAAAGGACCGCCAGTGCTGCTCGATTTTCCACCAACTCCACCAACAAATAATCTCAAGAATCCCTACGCCATCCAAAAAAAAGGTGCCCTGCCAGCATAGCTGGTACGAAACCTCGCCAACTAGAGGAAATAGAAATATTTTCCATCACCCGCCCGGCAATTGTGAGAATGGGAGTACGTATGCCGTTTCGTTGGTGGTGCTTGTGCTCCGTGTGAGTAATTTACGTGGATAAGTGCTGTCGACGGTAGGGCTGGCCGGAGATAGTGACTTTAACAATCTTCCGCTAGGGGTTGGAACATTGGCGTGGGGTTCTCTCCTTTAGAGTGTTCTATAATATTGTTAAGTTTGACGGGTTTTCCCTATGTTCCAGCGTTGGGTCGACACGAGCCCGCTATCGTCCACCTAGCTGGAGCCGGGCCCGCGATCCGTGGCTTGGAAAATAGGTGTTTGTCAAGTGATGTTCTGGGATCTTGATGAATATAGGTGTCAACATAAGGAAAGGATGGCACCGGTAATAGATACTTCTCACTCCCATATGGCATCTGGGTCCGTTGCTGGGTGAACCCAATGAATGGAGGACTCTGTCCACTTCTGAACGCTTTCCCCGCCCTCAAATGTTATTCTAGGCAGTCGGAATGGCCCACTGTAATTTTTGTCAACATGCTCTAAAGTTAGGGCCTCTAACACCAAGGTTCGGGTGCTGTCTATACTTTCTGTTGGGCTCTAACTTACGGGATTAGCTTTGGGCTCCGGGGGAATGTACTGGGTTTCCGGGGGATGAGCGAGAGTAGAGCAGGAGTCCTAGGATGAGAGGCGTGCAGCTCGGCCCCCACGAATAGTGGCTAAGTTGGGTTTAATATGATAAGTGAGAAGTCCATGTTTTTCACCCGCAACGCGGCGTCGGTGGTGGGAGAGCGAAATCGCCGTGTACTCGAGTAATAGGGTAGTTGTGTTCAACCAAAGACCGACCCCCCTCCCTATTCGGGTTTAGGGTGAAAGCTTGATTGCTCGTGTAACTTTTGGGCTGCTTCGTGGTTTCCGTGGTGTTAATAATACCAACTACACCACAAAACCGCATTAGGATGTTCCACGAGCACCCACCTGTTGTAGGGCATTGAAGGAGGCGAGTCACACCGGGTGCCGGGTTAACTGTAGGTATGATAACTTAATTCCCGGTAACTGGCGGAGGTTGCAGGACACTAGTCTACCGCCTGTCTCACTCCAAATTTTCCGAGATCTCCTTACAAGAGTTCCCATAATTTTCTGCCTCCACAACATTCCTCGCGTATCATAATTTCTTTCAAGATCTCCACATCACGGAATAATGGTACTGGATTCGAGCTGAACATTCATACTTTCCACAATTCTGGGTTTCGGGCCTGCACAGCATCTCTCCGCCAAGAAAAAAAAAAGCATTGCCAAGGCCTTCCACCCCATTTCATTCACGTGGTATTATTATGAGCCCCCCACCCATCCAACCCATTCTTTTCTTTCCCACGGTCCACAATATAGTAGATTTCCCTCTCCCACAGGTTCAATCCACGCCAAAACCATACATCTAAATACCCTCAGAGGCAACTTACATTCGCTAGATGGTGACCCAACACTTGGCCAACCTCTCCGTGGGAAAGTGCACAACCAGTGGCGTTGGGAGCCGCGACGAACCTCGACGCTTCCGGGACTTTGAATCGGGTCGCGGGGGAGGGGTGGGTAATAGTGGGTGTATCCGAAAAGAGTATCTGGAGGCACTACGCGAAGAAGCGGAGGCCAGGAAGGCTCTAGAAGCTGAGGATGCTAAAACCGACAACGACGAGGGCGAGGAGGGGGGAGGAAGGCAATGAATGGATTGGGGAATACACATCGACCCTGTCCCCAACGCGCCAATTCGAAAAATTGGAGATCCTATAGATTTACCTGCGGACTTTCAACGATCCCGCTGTTCTCGAGGCGGAGGATAAGCATAGGATTCTGTTCAACGACTCACCTCCAAATCCCCCGGTGGAATTGACGGCGGCCATAACGGCGGGGGGTAGTAATAACGGTTCCGCGTCGGTTGGTGGTAATGGTGGGGGTATAACGGAGGACTTGTCTGCCCGGTTGCTGACGCTGGAAAAGACAATACTTCCGATGCATGATTCGCTGCTGCGGGAACCCGGGCGGCACAGGGAGCCGCAGAGTATCGGGCAGGAAAAAGGGGGAGGGAGGAGGTGGAGTAAGAATGAGGCTCCCGCCCGGACCAGGGATGCGCCGATCGCCCGGGTTGAGTCGCAACTACCGCATACGGCGATCGTCGACGGACCCGGTGCTTCTACCGCTTTACCCACACCCACGGGTGGCGTGGAAATCACAGGGGCGGGGGAGAGAAGGGAGAGGACAAGCCTCGAAGACCTACTCTCCGATATTAACGCCTCCTGCAACGAATACCTCTCCGCCCGCCGGGAAGTGGTGGAAGTCCTCTCTGCCGTAAGCCAGACCCTCACTCAACTCGCCCCCATCACGACCCCACATTCCAAATCCGCACCCGCGGCCGCGGCTACAGCTAAGAAAACCCCACCCCAAACACCCCTCCCCCCGCCCCCGATCCTAAAAGTCCTAACAGCAGTGGAGTAACTTACCCCACTCATAAACTCGCAAAAAGCCCTCCCGCCAAAAGACATTGTTCCTCTCCGCCCTGGCGTCCGGGCAAAAATCCCTCCTCACCACGCTGGAGGAGAAGGTCGACGACAACGGCACCTTCACTATCGCCACTGCCGAGGCGCGGAGGGACAGCAGTGCCGGCGTGCAATTGGCGAAGCGCGTCGTGGACAAGGAGACGGTCAGGATGGAGATGTTCGGGAAGGAAGTTGCGGCATGCCTGTGCTCTGCCGGGGTGACTTTGGAGGGTGTGTTTGCCTTATAGGTCGAAGTTGAGGGGCTGGCGATTCAGAGGAAAGGGAAGAGGTGGAAAAGGAGGGGAGGCCAAGATCCCCGTTAGGGGGAAGGGGAAGGGGAATAGGAGGGCACCGGAAGAGGAGGCGGAGGTGGAGAAAGGTTTGGGGCATGATCGCTGGGAACGTGGGGGTTATCGGGGATGGGATTTGATGGGCCATTATCACACTCGCTTTTTGGATGTCTCAGTGGGAGTGAGTGACTGCTTGTGTTGCACTTTAGGGAGAATCTGATACGGGCGCTGGCGTTGTGGACTGCTAGAATTTTGCTACCGCATCGTAACTTTTATACCATAATATTTATTGTAGGCCCCTACCCAATGGAGTACTTTCAGTACTGAAGAATTATGAAGCGGTTTTATGCTAGCACTACACTCCTGTCTTGCCCGAGTATCGCCGTACTAACCTGTACATACCGTGGCTTATGCGCGTAGATTTTCGGACACTCGCTGCTGTGGTGTTTTCATCTACCCACCCGTGTGGGTTTTGTTGATTTTTTTAATACCTTAATATGGAGGGGGGGGACAATGTTCGTCCGTGCAGTTGTTAATGGGGGTATTTTGGAGAAGTGATACTTTCTCATAATACAGTATAAAAATTTTTTACTTTGAGATTATTGAATGTTAAATTTCCATCAATCGATCACCTACACTAGGTTATCCCATTATTTCCTTTTTTTCCCAATTATCACCGTGCTTCTCGCTGCAAGTGCTTGGTAGCTCGCCAAGAGCAAGAGCAAATATATAATGACATGACAACCATCTCGCTGCCATGGCATTGAAACGGAAAGGTTGATAAAAGTGATGGCAAACGACCGTTCCGTTTCCAATTTTCAGAACGGAAGGAAACGGTCATTTGTACGGGCGAACGGAACGGAACCATCATACCCGAACAGGCCCTAAGAAAACAAATTTGCCTAAAAGGGCCAGAAGGCCTCAATTCCGACATAGCCCTCATCTCAACGTCCCCGATCCGCATTCGGGCGTTCGTTCCCCTCCTCCTCCACTTCCTCCTCTGCCCCCAAATTGTCTCGATCAGTTCCCCCCCTTGGAACGGAGCGCCTCAAAAACGTCCTACCCAAACCTCCTCCACCTAAACCGCAGCAGGCGAACACATAGCGACAAACTCAACAAAGGACACGGCATCAGCCGCTGCTATTGCAGAGCCGTCTGCTCCCTCAGCCGAGACTAGCGTTTCGAAACCCTCAAGTGTCTTCACAGGGAGGGAAAGGCCGCATGCCTCCCCTCAACTCAGAGCAGATGATCTATGAGCAGAATACCAATCTCCAGGCATTTTCCAGGGAGATTATTGCGGTCGCCACACCAACCCCGCAAGAATTAGCCACCCAAAACCAGCATTTGAAAAAATGTAGAGCGATCTGCCGAAGAATCTGCCTAGAAGGGGAATTGGTTCCCTTTGGAAGTCTAGTTAGTAAGTGCTACGTCCTTCATTTTTCTCAGCTTGTCCTTGACTGTATATCTTGTAGCCAGTTTGGTTAATATCACATGATATATCTCTAGTTTGATCGCCTTGCTATCCTCCATTGTGTTAGTACCATAGCTGGGTTCGCAATAACTAAGTCTGATCTCGGTGCCGTTCTTGTGACTCCCCATCCCGAGGCCATTTTCAGCACCCCTGACAAGAGTGACGAGTCCAATTCTCTTCCACATAATCAGGTGAAAGAATTTCAGTCCAAGGGGTTCGAGGTTACGCTACTCTTAAAGACCAGTGTACCTATAATGAAGCCAGCACTGAAGGCTACAGATGAGAATTCATTTTACTTGATTTGCGACATTGGGTTTAATCACGACTTGGGAGTGCATAATACCAGGATGCTGCAAACATATAGTCGATGTGATCCAAGAATTAAGGAAATGGTTCTTTTTATAAAGGTATTTACGCTTTCACCTTAATTCCAATCGCAATCGCCTTGGCAGTTCAGAATTTTTTGAATTTGGCATTAACACATGCCAGTGGTGGGCCAAGAGAAGGCATATCAATAGCCCATGCCGTGGTACCCTTTCTTCTTACGGCTACGCTCTCATGATCATACATTTTCTGATCAATGCGGTTGACCCCCCCGTTTCGATCAATCTGCAGAATACTCCGATCCCCGAAGATGTGCCGCCTGACCAGATATTTGATAAGGTTGGCAAAGGACAGCATCGGATTTGGTATGCTAAACATGTCGAAATTCTTCCCAAGACCACGAACCAGATGCATGTCGGCCGGCTCTTACATAGCTTCTTCAAATATTATTCATATCGGTTCCAATGGGGAAGAGGGGTCATCTCTATCCGGACCCGAGGCGGCATACTTGGTAAGAAAGGTAAGGGTTGGGCTACGGCTGTGAATAGGCCGGGGAGGAGTGGGCATACTCAGATAAAAGATGGATACTTGCCATCGAGGACCCTTTCGAAATCAGCGGCAACGTGGGCAGAACGTGCAACTCCACCGGAGTAGACAGGATTCGAGCGGAGTTCAAAAGAGCCTTGAACATTATTAGGTTTCGCGATGGCGGGAAGTCAATGAGGGAGCTTTTATGCCAAGAGGGGCTGCCGGAGAAACCATGGGTGAGGAGGGAGGACGACGAGAGGATGGAGGGGAAATCTAATCTAGATCAAAGTGCTAACAAAGAAACGAACGAGACCGTTAAACACCAACTGAACGATGTCAGTGATGAGGGAGAGCTCTCTGCGAACACACTTGATGGAGTGACACCTCAAGTTTGGGAATCCGATCAGCGGGAGGCTGGGGGCTGCTACATAGAGAACTCAGCCCAAATATAGGTTAAACGTTGTTTTTGTTTTCTTTTCTCTTTCTTTGTCTGAGTGGCTCAAAACATCACGAGGTGCCATTTGCCCCAAGATCAGAAAAAAATATGAAAAGAATCCAGAATAAGCGGTTGAAACAAATATCAATAGAAAAGAGAAATAAAAGACACTTTTCGGAGTTGCACACTTCATCTGTCTAGTAATAGTCCTCACCACCCCCTCCATCCCCCCAATCATCCCCACTATCATCCTCCCCACCATTAAAGTACATCTCAGCATTATAGTCCCCCTCCTTATCATCGCCAAAATCATCCTCGGCTTCCTCCTCTCCCTCCGCTACCTCATCGTCATCATCGTCATCATCGTCACCAACACCCTCGCCCAGCAACCTTTGCAGGACCCCCTTCTTCCCCTTCCCACCAGCACCTCCATTCTCCTCATCCTCCTCATCCAACCCACCAATAACATCGAGCGCCGAAAAAATCAACCTCTTCACCTTCCCCTTCTCTTTACCTCTACCATCCTTCGCATCGCTATCACCATTTATTCCTAATGTGTCCTACAGCTCCTCGGGGAAGAACTCCTTAACGTACGGCCTAGAATCCAACTTGGGCACCCTGTGCTTCTGCAGCTAATATTTTGCCGAGTACTTGCTCGCGTCGTTGAACGGGTCCTCCATACCGTGCTTCTTGCCCAAGACCGTGTACGGCGAGCCATTATGGATTTTGTCGTGATACGTGTGGTGGCGCGCTACTATGCGGTGTTCCTCCGTACTCGGAGGGTTCGGAATGGGCGGTGGTTGTGGTTGTTTTGGTTCAGTCAGTTGGTCCGTGCTGTAGACGTAGGTATAGAGGGGGGAGATATGGGAAAGAGCTCGGTAGTGCTGTAGTCTGGTGGGTTATCCGGGTCGTGACCGAACGGACCGCCCGTGCCTCCTCCTCCTCCTACGCCAAATTTACCACCGCTGCGGAAACCGCCGCGCCCACCTCTGGACATCTCTCGTTATGTTCGGATGAGGAGGTTGGCCGGTTGAAAGAGGGATTTGGAAAGATAAATTGATTAAGCAGGATGGATTTCGAATTTCTTATGAGTCGTTGGGTTAGGATTATTTTCGGCGGGAATACAATCTTCCGACGGTGACAGTGTTAGTCAAATTAAGCCGTGGTCTATGCGTTTTCTTATGATTAAGTTTTCCTTTTTTCTTTTTTTCAATGTGTACGTGTGTGTGCTCGTGGTAGGTACGTGTACTCGTCGTGTCGTGACGTTTGTGAAATGGACCGGGCTTGCATGGTGGCGCACAGGGGTACATTTCAGGGAAGAGGGAATCTGAATAGGCCTAGGGGAATAATTAGTATAGATTACAGTATTACTAAAATAAAAGGAACAACAATAGGGGGTCGTAGAGTGTGTATTATGTCCAAACCTTAACGTGAATACCTACAACATCAGAGATTTTCAGTAAAATGTCAACGCCAAGAGGGAAAATGACTTCAATGGGAAAGAGGGGGCAGATTGTAGGGTATACAATGCTGGAAGGGGAACAAAAGATGAGTTTAAAGGAGATTTCAGCAAAGACGGGGGTGTTGCTCAGTACCTGCTCCAATATTATCCGAACAGCATGCGAGCATGCCAGCCAGAACCAAAGTCACCATCTATGTGCAGATGAGAATCTTGCACCATTGCTTAACTCTGTAAAAGGTGCAAACGAGTGCCTTACACAGGCACAGAAGCAACATTTGGTGGATGTGACTTTGCAGGATGCAGAGCACTGCCGAATGACCTTCACACAGTTAGCAGAGGAAGGTAGTTCTTTTTCTTTTGTTAAATAAATTTGAATATGTAACTAATTTGAAAATAAAAGCGCAACTTAATGTAAGCAGACAGACAATTTTGAAAGCACTGTGTGAAAATGAAATTTATCGACGAAAGCCAGTTCGCAAACCAACTCTTAAGCCAGAAGAAAAGGTTAGGAGACTTGCCTTTTGTCATCAACATCAGAATATCGATTGGAGAAATATGTTCTTTACTGATGAATCCTATTTTGAAACAGGAAATCTCCGGTCCCGTCGAGCTTGTAGAGTATTACGTCATGCTGGGGAAGCATATCTACCACAAAATATTGATCACAAGTTCATACAAGGGGCAACTGTGATGTTTTGGGGTGCAATCCTCCATGGAAAGGCTGGTATGTATGAGTATCAATTTTAATTTAATTTATATTGTTTAATAGTATTATTTTATTATTCCTAATATGTACATAATATATAATACTAATAAATTATTATTTACATTTAAGGTCGTGAACTTCCCTATCATTTATATACAACCCCGTACGAAACAACAAACCAGTGTACAGAAGCTATTCAAACTCTTCAACGAGAGTTTGAATCTGAGCAGGCAGCTAATGCAACTGCCAGCTCATTGGAATTACAACTCCCATTGCCAAACCTAGTTCTGAAGACAAGGAAGGTTGACAGGAAGGGGGGAATTGACTGGTATATTTACCATCAACAAATTCTGAACCTCCTTCTCTATCTATTTACGGGGCAGGCCATGGCTGAGTTTCCAGAACAAGGTATCATGAGAATGGAGAACAATGCTCCTGCACATGTCCACCATTATCATGATACTTCCCGAGAAAGGCTTGGGTTCTAGAAACTTATTTGACCTGCTAATTCTCCAGATTTAAATCCGATTTAGACTATTTGGATGGAGTTGAAGGACATTTTACAAGATCAGATAGGGCCAAGAATGACTGCCTGTCAGATTAGACATGTTCTTGAGGAAGTAAGTCACTTCCTTTGATATTTTATATTTTTATTTAATACTATTATGGGCTTGGAACTATTATCCTAAGGAACGTATCAATTACCTTATCAACTCTATGCCTGAATGGATCCAAGCATGTATATCAGATGATAGAGGAAATAATTTTAATTTCTAATTTCTAATTTTTAATATTTATTGTTTAATTTTTAATGTTTAATTTTTAATATTTAATGTTTAATATGTAACTGGTACGGGTACTCGGTTATTGGTTTTGTTTTATGTTTTGTTTTAAGTATCACTTTGATACATAAGGAGTTTTACCAAAGTGTATCAATTGATACCTTTGATGAGTTTCGTTCATGCTAGACATGAACAGATTTGTGTATTTAAAGACTGCCTGTTTCTACGATAGAAAAGGCAGACTTCAACAGACAGTATTTCAATATACTTGGTTGAACGGTTACTTCTTTGTTCCTCAGTACACCCTCGAAGCCTCCTTTAGTTCTCAGCTCTCGCCTCGTCTCTGGAAGAGCAGGCCACCTGCCAACTATCGTACTTAATCCCGATAACGTGATTAGCACCTTGCGAACACGTTACATTTTTTGAACCTCAGCAAGTGGTTAAGAACCTGTCACCGGATTTAGGCCTGATCAACCTATTGACATCCACCTCAGAACGCTAGCTGAGAGAAGCGGCAGAATTACGGCACATTCGGCTTCATCTCAAATCCAAGATAGAGTCTTTGACGACCATGAGTGGAAAGCAAATCCCACAGCAAGATCTTACAAGAAAGAAACAACCCCGATGCTCTGCTAAAGAGCTGGGCAATCCTGCAAACATGGAAGATACACAACCTCCAGGAGAATTCCTCCTACACCAGCAAAGAAGCCTTCCTTTGAACCTCCAATCGACCGCGAATCCAGTAGCAAAGGAGATATGGCTAATACAGGAAAAGGGCCTTCTGGAGGAGGAAAATCTCGGGTAAGGCCTGAAGAAGAAGAGGTACCCGCAGCATTTGAACCCCCTAGGTTTAAACTCCACCTCCCAGCGAAGTTCACAGGAGAAGGAAAAGACCTCAAACCTGAAGCTTTTGACAGATAGGCGACGGAACTCTCACATTTCCTACTCTTACAAGGAAAAGATGTGGAAGACCCTACAACCGGACTTATCATTGGATCATTTTACGAAGGGAAGGCAACCGATGCATACCACCAATGCTATAAGGAATACGGCGGGAATATAAGATTAAGAGGAACTACAGTTCTCGATTACCTGAAAGGACGATTCCAATCCTCTATGACCAACGACCTCCTATATAACAAATTCAACCAGCTCCAGCAAATTAACGGAACGCATGTTAAGCGAATTACCGATGTGGCTACGGACCTGATGATGTATAAGGACCGAATGGAGAGAGGAAGTATCTCTAAATACATCCTGAAGCGACGATTCTACGACACCATGCACCCTACCCTCCGGCGAGAAGTAGAACCACTCGAGGAAGACGGCGATGATATTGTAGTAATAATTGCAAGAGCAGAACGAAAGGACGCCATTCTCCATGAGACTAAGGCCTACAAAACACAAACATCCTCTAGTAGGAACAGCCAGCCATGGCACAAAGCCCCCAGCAACTCTGAAGACGATACCCCACGGGTTTTCAAGAAGAAAACAAAATCCTCCAAAGAATCGAGACGTCAGAAAGGAGAATGTTTTGAATGTGGAAAAATAGGACATATGGCAAGGAATTGCCCTACGAAGAAAGGGAAAGGAAAGGCAATTAAGTAAGAAGCATCAGCCAACAATGTTGAGAGTGATAGTGATGATATCTAACCCAGCGAATATGAGGAGATCCATATCGGATATATTGATGTGGAATGCAACAGTGTTCGACCTCCGGCTACATTCAAAGCACACACTGCTCTGGAAGGTACTATTCTGATCAATGGTAAAAAGGCGGGAGTCCTATTCGACACTGGTGCAATCGGAAGAGATATGTTCCGTAATGCCTTTGTCTCTGTCCATGGACTCCGAACTCGAGACCTTAACCAACCCATACCAGTCAATATGGCAGTAAAAGGATTACGATCCACAAGCCATAAAACCTATAGTGCGACTATTGGACTTGGTTCTGCAGTCCTACCCCCCAAGGAAATGATGGTTAAAAATTTAGCCAAATACGATGCCCTAATAGGTATGCCATTCCTGAACTGCCACAAAGCTATAATCAGGTGTGGGGAATCAACCATCGATTTCCCAGATC